CCTCCTTTCCCTCCCTGCTCTCCCTACCCCTCCCTCCTCAGCTCGGGTCCTTCCCCTCATTGCCCTTCCTCACGTGTGTCTCACTCTCTCCCCCTCTTACTCTGTCTTGGTGTCTGTTTCCTTTTCCCAGTGTCTCCTTCCTTCTCTCTGACTTTCTCTTTCACTCTTTGTCTCTCTCATTTGGGCCTCTCTCTCTTTCTCTTTTCTGTCTTATTTCCTCTTCCTATATCTGTACCATTTCTTTCCTCTTTTCTACTCATTCTCTCATTTCTCTCCTTTTGCCTCTTATTTTCTCACCGACTCACACCCCTGCTTGCTCTCTCTTCTCTCGCGCCCCCATCTCTGTCTCAGCCCCTCCTGCTGCCCCTCACCCCCGTCCCTGGCCCCGGACTCACCCAGCTCCTCTCCAGCTTCCTCACTGGAAGAAAGGAAGCAGCTCAGCGCGACCAGCTCTGGTGCCCCGGCCCCCTGACCGCCACCCGCCCAGTGATGGCTCCTCGCGCTGACTCTCCTGTGGTTTCCACAGCCAAAGCCTGGCCTCTCCACCTGGACAGTCTCCCCTCCCTCTCCCCCAGCTTCTCCCCTTCCTCCCAGGGTGTGTCGGGCTGCGGTTGCCCTGGGAGAGCAGTAGGAAGGGTGCGGGTGGGGCATTGCTGCGGGCGATGAGGGGGTCAGGGCAGGCTCACCTCTCCGATGGAGCCGACACAGACAGGCGGACAGAACAGCCACAACCACAGCCAGGAGGCCCCCCAGCCCACAGCTCGCATAGAGGAAAGGCCATATGCAGTCTGTGGGGAAAAGCGGTGAGTGTCAGAGGGCCCCTCGCCCTCTCCACTGACCCCGCCCTCCCGGTGCCTCTCCAGCAGTTTCAGAGGCAGAACAGCATCCCTCAGGAATCCCTCACCGCCCGGTCACCTGGCCTCCCAGCAGAGGCCCCGCCCACCATCGTTTAATCACTGACCCCTGAGCCCTCTCACCCCTCGGAGGCTCCCACTGCCACCCCA